CTGGCAAATGGTTTTTCTTGCAGATACTCCAAGGCACTGTTGTTGCTACTTTGTCATGTCCTTGTAGTCAGTCTGTGTGATCTTCTTGCAGCAGCTAACAAGGTAGTCCACTGTATCTTCAGCTTCTCTCTAGAGGAAGCATTTGTTGTCTATTGCCGTCTTTTCAATTCTGGCTTTGAATGCATTTCTTCATAAAGCTTGATCTTGTGGAGCCAGAATTAGTCCCTCAGTCTCTTTCTTCAACTTCCCTGGTCTTAGCCATTGCCAGATCTTGTTATTATCTATGTGTCCTGCTATTTTTGTTTTATGTACTGTCCAGGCGATACTTTATCTTCTCATGTCTCTTTTCTTATCTTCATTTAGTCTTTCTTGTGGGTCAGTTTGGACTCTTGATATTCAGTAGCCTTCATGGTCTACATGAGTGCATTTTTCTGTACCATCCTTCAGATATTCTTCTAATGCTCTTTTCTCTTCTTCAAACATGCACTTGCAACCTTTCACGGTCCCCTGTTTTACTAAGTAAAGTCTGTCAACATCACCAGCATGAATAAAGGGCATGATTTATTTTCAACTATTTTTCTGGTTTTCGGTCCAGGCTTATTATTATTCCTTCCTTCCATACACAATACAGAGAGAGAGAGAGAGAGAGAGAGAGAGAGGGAGGGAGGGAGGGAGGGAGGGAGGGAGAGAGAGGGAGGGAGGGAGGGAGGGAGGGGGAAAAGGAGAGGGAAAAGGAGGATCTATATATAGATATCTAGCCATTCAGCCAGTTTGGTCTAGTAGTTAGAACACCAGATTAGAAAGCGGGAGTCGGTGAGTTCTAGTCCAGCCTTAGCTATGAAAGCCAAATGGATTACTTTGGGCCAGTCATTGTCTCTCAGCACAATGCACCTCAGAGGATTGTCATTGTGAAGAAATTAGGAGAAGGAATGTGTGTTGGATATGTTCACTGCTTTGAGTTATTTCTAAAAATAATAAAGATGAGATGCATTAGTATTAGCATTAGATCCTCCCATGTTATGTGCAATATTGGACAGCAAGAGATCTCCAGCATTTTCAATTTTGGGTGAGTATTTTAACATCTTCCCATATGATGTTTAGAGTCTTTAAGTCTTCCATGATCCAATTTGTAGGTCCTATTTTCCTTATGGAGAACAATCCCCAAGATGGCAATGAGATGGATTCCTCCCCCGATGCCTGAAATAAAATGAAATAAAAATAAATAATATCATGTATACTTGGTTATAGTTGTTATAATTGTGTATAAATAAATCAAAGCAGCAAACATATCTAATATTCCCGCTTCCTCTTCCCTCACCCCAACAATAACCCTGTGAGTTGGGTGGGCTGTAACTGGTCCAAAGTCACCCAGCTGGCTTTCATGCCTGAAGCACGGTTGAAACACAATAGTCTTCTGCTATCTAGGCATCATATTTGGCATATTGTTCATGTTTGGCATATTATGCTAAGTGACTAGGTACAGTATATAGATCTATATTTTTGTGTGGTTCTACAGAACATGTAGTAAAAAGAACAAAACTTAGAATTTAAAAACCATAAAACTAGGGGTGAAATCCAGCAGGTTCTGACAGGTTTCTGTAGAACAGGTAGCAGAAATTTTGAATCGTTCAGAGAACTGGCAAATACCACCTCTAGTTGGCCCCAGGAGTGGGGTGGGAATGGAGATTTTGCAGTATCCTTCCCCTGCCACACCCACCAAGCCACACCACACCTACCAAGCCACGCGCACAGAACTGGTAGTAAAAAAAAATGGATTTCACCACTGCATAAAACATATATATATATAATGCAACATGGGAGAGTATTTAAAAACTAATATTCCATAAAGCCACCTTGCAGTTTCCAAGGCATCCCCAGGCCAGATGGAAAAACCATGTCTTGAGAGACTTTGGGGCTAGTCTCTCTCCCTGTTTCATAAAGTGTGTGTCATGATGCAAAAGGCTCATTTCCTAGATTCCATAACATGCCCCTCCTGTCTGATCAGATGGAATGGGTTCCTGTAATCGGGAAAAGGCAATCCCTCAAATAGCCCCACATCCTGAAGGCATTAAAAATCAAAATCAGCACTATGAATTAGACCCGGAGTTGACTGATATCCAATGCAGATTGTGCAGCAGAGGCTTAAAGAGTGCCATTTTAGGCATACGTATATAACTTCCTGCTTTGCTACAATTTGTACCACTTGAAGTTTCTAAATACTCTTCAAGCATTTCCATGTAGATTCAATTAGAGTAGTCCATTTGGTGACTAGGGCATGACAAATAGATTGTAGGTGTAATTATTAAAGCCACTTTTACATGTAAGTGTATTACATGTACATGTACAAGTGTACATGTAAGTGAGTTAATGTCAGACATATTGATATATAATCCCATCAGGTTTAAAATTTTTGATCTGGATAGCCTCGAACTACGCCGTCTACATTCCGAGCTATGCTTAGTGCGTAAGATTATTTACCAAAACATTTTACCTGTAAATGAGTACTTTAATTTCAACTGCAATAACACAAGGGCTATCAGTAGATTCAAACTCAATGTAAATCACTCTAATCTTGATTGTAGGAAATATGACTTCTGCAATAGAGTAGTAAATGTCTGAACACTCTACCTGATCCTGTTGTTAGTCTCGTTAATCCCCATACCTTTTACCTTAAACTGTCTACTGTGGACCTTTCATGTTTCTTAAGAGGTCCCTAAGGGGGCATGCATAAGTGCACCAGCGTGCCTACCATCCCTGTCCTACTATGCCCATTTATATGTAATCATTCTATGTGTTTATGGCTATATTTTGCCTATTTATATCCTTTTAGTTGTGCCAATTTTTTTTTCATGTGTCCATGTCTATATCTATAATGTTACTTGTTTCCTTATACTTGTTGACAAACAAACAAACAAACAAATAATCTTAGAGTTCATTCAATAGTCCATTAACATATATTATTAATCTATATTATTTTCAGGCATAAACCTGCAGGTTATAACTTTGCCCTCTTGATTTCTTAGTCACATACTTATACTCTAAATATCTGAACCTGCCAAACTAAGGATGACTATAGCCTCCAGAAGGCACAGCTAACTTTAAAAACCTGAACCAGCACATTCAATTACTACTATGCATATACCTTCATATTGTGTGTATGTGTGTGTATACACACACACACACACACATATTATATGTGTGTGTATGTGTATATAAACATCACACACACATTAAGAAATATAACTGTCAAATCTTAGTGTTGGTGTTAATACATTTATAAACAATTCTACATGTGTGATTCTTTTTGGTTCATTTTTATTTTAATAATATATAATCTTTATTTGGCCCTTAATCTTGTCATATCAATGATTTCTAAAGCTTTGATTTATCTTTTTAATGGCATTTTGCTCATTCTTCAAATTTAATATATTCAAGGGTTTCTGACATGGACATATTCCTAGCAAATGTTAACTGTAGTCCTCAGAAGACCCTTCTAGATTTATTTTAAAATATAAATCTGTCTTACAATGGTTACAGTTTCTTACAATTTCATGCCTTAGGCATGAAAGCAGACTGGGTGATTTTGGGCCAATTACTCTCTCTCTCTCTCTCTCTCAGCCCAATTTACCTCACAGGTTTGTTGTTATTGTGGAAAAAAATAGGAGGAAGAAGGATTATTTTGTATGTTTGCCCTCTTGAGTTGTATATGAAAAAAGTAGGATAAAAAATCTTTTTAAAAATGGTTTAATTGCAACTCATAAATGTTTCTAAGTCAGAAACTGTTTATATTATAGGACTGCATGATGAAACTTTGCCTGGCCTAAAAGTACAGACCCATGTGGCCTAAGGTGACAAAATCTTTTGTTCGATTGGTAAAATATAGCCCAAGAAAACTAGCATTCATTCACACTGAATGCGACAGTGTTTGTACCACAGAATAGTAGCACACATTTTATACTGGTAACCTAATGCTGAGTTAGCTTGGTTCAGTTTGTAGCCTGTTGATGGAAGATAGAAAAGGTGCTTCAACTATTGTCTTCTAAGAAAGCTGGGCCTTAGGTCTTAAAAAAAACCAAAGACCAAAACAAAAACTCAACCAAATAAACAAACACCTATGTTTCCATTTTTTTCTTGTTTTTTTGGAAATCGGAGATTAAAAGAAAGCCAGCTGGGTGAACAGCAGCTGCAGGTGAATCAATGGTTTAACACTCAGTCAGTCTCTGCCAATTGCTGTGATATTGACTGACTCCTAATCAATTGTGACTCTGTGACTGCATAATCAGTGAGAGTAAATAACATGCATGAGTGGAGCTATCTGAATCAGGGAAGCTGAAGGCTGCACTGTGCAAGGAGGGGGAGAGCAGAGCAGAGCAGAGCAGAGCCTTTAATTAAGCAGAGCACATCATAGATTAAAGGAAGGAAGGTTGGAAATTCCAGTCAGCAAGAAAGGACACTCAAAGTCTCAAAGTTGCTCTTTTAAGATGAATGAAATTAAAGGAGGGGGCCATCCAAAATACAGAAGCGGACAGAAGGGCTGGACTAGGATGCCACTTTCCATGTACTTAGATTTTTCCATGTACTTAGGATATTTACCTACGTCGTAGGGCTGTATTAATATTATCCTTCTCATCTTTCTACTAGCTTCTCCTATTGGTATCTTGTGATTATATTATTTTGTTGTATATACACTGAGAGCTTATGCACCGGAGACAAATTTCTTGTCACACTTGGCCAGTAAAGATTTCTATTCCATTCCTATTCCTAGCCCCCAAACATAGTTCTATGTTCATCTCCTTCATAACAGAGAGGATAGGAGTAGAGAATCTGTACCTGTCAGAATATTCATGACTGGGAAGACATGGTAACAAGGTCAGCCAATGAACAGGCATAGCAACTGGGTCAGCCAATGAGAGCTGTTTAGAAACAGAAACTTAAGCAAGAAGTCTGGGTGTGGCTTAGGTATTAAGGTCTGAGCTCTTGTAGGAAGAAATATCCTTCTGGGTTCAGCTCCAAGTGGGGAAAAAGACACTGGAAACATGGAGACTGCTTGGAAAGATGGTTTAATGGTGGACAGGATCACATGGCTTGAGTTCCTTAACAGAAAAGGGACGAGATACAGTGAGTCCCCGGGTTTTATGCTTTCTCTGGCTTTGAACTTCCTGGGCCCCCGAAAGAGTATCCTGATTGGTTGTCAGACTCCCAAGGGGTGGGGGTCTTAGCTAGCCTTGCTGGCTGATGTAATCTTACCAGGTGCTATGTGGTGAGTTTCTGTTGCTATTGTGTTGCAGATGGGTCCTACTGTCAAAGATTGAGTTTCTGTCTCTGGCCCATTAACAAAGGGGGGGAGGCAGGAAGGTGGGAGTTGCTTTGTCTTTAAAACATGTTTCTCCATTTCTCAACCAGGGAAACATAATATTCTGCCTTTTTAATATTTCCTAAAATATTTCATTCTTCTAGGAAAGGGATGGGTGCTAACTTCCTACACTCTGAAGTGGCAAACAAGTCTGAACTAGTCTAGTCTGCCTCTCTGAACTGATCTGAAACAGGAGAACCACTACTGGTATTCTACATTTATCTTCATGTGTTCTATGTATATAAAGAAGTTAATGAATCCTGCTGCATCAGTCTGCCTGTGTGTGCTTTCTGAATTTGATTTTGCAACAAACTCTAACAGTACCCTTATCAATATAACTGAGCTATAGCTTGCAATAACATAGGACAGCATGCCACAGATGAGGGTTGGGCAGTTCAACAATATCCAGGCCCACCAGAAGTGGTAAATTATGCTGAACAGGAACAAAGGAAATACTAATGGAAAATTATGGCTGAATATTGCTAGGTGTCAGATAGGTATCATTACTAGGTGACAAAAGAGTATTTTTTTCAACTAAATAAACATTTGTCAAGCCTCCCACATCCCCCACACTCCATTCAAAAAACCCTCAGTATTTAATTAATGTATTTAATTACAAAAGATTGAAGAAATATAACATTCTACTAAAAGGTAAATGTAAAGGTTCGCCTCATTCCTGATTCTAGGGGGTGGTGCTCATCTCCGTTTCAAACCGAAGAACCAGCGCTGTCCAAAGACGTCTCTGTGGTCATGTGGTCGGCATGACTAAATGTCAAAGGCGCACGGAACTCTGTTACCTTCCCACCAAAGGTGGTCCCTATTTTTCTACTTGCATTTTTTACGTGCTTTTGAACTGCTAGGTTGGCAGAAACAAAATGCTTATACAGAAACACTTCTTTTAAATCTGTATAATAAATATTGGAGAAATATTCAGATTGATATTCCAGTTCTATAGTACATAAACATACAGATAATAATTTTAAGAGCACAAGAGTAGGGAACTGCTGCCCTGGTGTGCCCAAAGATAAAGGCAATTTGATTAAAAAAAAAAAATCTTATAGCTGCAACTATCAATATTTAGAAAATATACTGATGCTACATTTAAAACCACTGTGTTTTTGTGTTTCACTTTCCTCTGCACATAAAATCTCAGAGCACCGAGCAATAAGAGGTGATCTGCCAGAGGCAAACTTTCAATTTGCTCTAGTTTGTGAAGCATTTCGGTTGTAAAGAGCTGCTGTTTAACTAGCCTCTACTGAATGCTTTAAAAGACGGGTGAAATTGAGCAAGTCACATTCCTGCAGTTAATAGAAGCAGGTACACCTGACTACTTTCAGTGGCCAACTTGACATTTGACGGCTTTTAATACTGCATGCTGTGACAGATAATTTAAGAGAAAAATGCAAATTTGATAGGAAACATAATGTAGATTTAAGACATGGTAACCATTGTCACTTGGTTCAACATCCTGGAACAGCTAGACTTTCATCTATCTATACTTTCTCTGGCTCCATGACAGGAACAAGCAAGCTACTAGTTAACATTGCTCTAATTATTCAGGCTTCTGGCTTCATGGAAGGATAACTGTCATGCTATTGGTTCATTCAATTCTGAGTTCACCTCATGTTTTATCTAAAAGTCCAAGAATAAAGCATTGGGAACAGCCTGTTCAAAAGATGATGGAATACCTACGGTATTTTAAATTACTTGCAACGACTGCTTATCTTCACTGGCTTTACTATGCTTTATCAAAGATCCCATGTCTCTCCAGATCAAAGTGGCCAATCATCACAAACCTTACATAAATTCGAAAGGCAGCAAATGCGTTTCCAAAATGAAGTTTAGTTTTTGTGGCATGAAATGGGTAGCAGGAAAAGGAATCCATTCTCAAGAAGGAATCCCAAATTCTCAAGAAGAAGCAGATATTCTGCAAAGCTAAATCCAAAACATGTGTCTATTGAAAGGGCTGTGTCTTTAAAAATGTTTAGTACATTGTTATAAAGAATCTATGTGAGGAAATATGTATTAAAATGTCCACATATAGACAAAGCTATGAAAAATAATCAGTGGAAATTTCCCATTTTCCCCAAAACTAGAAAATAATTAGCAGAACAGTATATATAGAAACCTCTAGCATAGACACAGATTGCATTAAAATTTATCCAAATATCAAATCTATGCTTCCTCCCTCCCCAACCAATGAGATTTTCCTAGTAACAAATTGTGATTTAAGCAAAATATTCTCCTGAAGATAGAAGCTAAGGTAGCTCTGGACAAGGATTTTGTACTATCTCCAGAATGTTTCCTGTTCTGGTAGGATGGGGTTAATTTCTTTCTGTTATAATTGCTTGTTCAGCATTCAAATGTACAGTACTGTGCCTTCAAAATAGGAACATGTTTTGTATTTAGCTAGCTTATAGGTAAAGTTTAGCACCTGACCTTATGGCCAAAATAGGTGAAGCTTCACAAGGAAGTGTTCAAGGATTATTACATACTTCTTCTTTCCTGTCTTGTCACTTCCTGTTACAAAGCTTTGATGGGAAAGAAAGGAAGTGAAGCCATTCCAACCTCCATCTTCCTTACAGAGAAGTCACTCACAGTTCTTCAGCCAAAAAAGCTAATACAATCCTTGGTTGTATAAACAGAGGCATAGAATCAAAATCACATGAAGTGTTAGTACCGCTTTATAAAGCCTTAGTAAGGCCACACCTGGATTATTGCATCCTATTTTGGTCACCACATTACAAAAAAGATGTTGAGACTTGAAAAAAGTGTAGAGAAGAGCAATTAAGATGATTAAGGGCCTGGAGTTATGAAGAACAGTTTCAGGAATTGGGTATGGCCAGTCTAGAGAAAAGTGACATGATAGCAGTATTCCAGTATTTGAGGAGGCTGCCACAAAAAAGAGGGGGTCAACTCATTTTTCAAAGCACCAGAAGGCAAGACAAGAAATAATGGATGGAAACTAATCAAGGAGAAAAGCAACCTGGAATTAAAGAGAAACTTCCTAACAGTGAGGACAATTAACCCATGGAACAACTTGCCTTCAGTAGTTGTGGGTGTTTCATTACTGGAGGTTTTTAAGAAAAGCCTGGACAGCACCTATCTGAAAAGGTATAGGACAGAGGTGTCAAACTGGTGGCCCATGGGCCAGATGCATCACATGCAGGCCATGCCCACCCCAGCTCTGCGAAGGGAAAAAAGTCACAAAACATCACATGATGGCAATGTGATGCTGCGAGTTTGACACCTGTGATATAGGGTCTCCTTCTTGAGCAGGAGGTTGGACTAGAAGACTTCCAAGATCCCTTCCAGCTCTATTCTGACTGACTGACTGATTGACTGACTGACCGATTGATTGATTGAATGATTGATTTTGACCCATCTGGGGGTATTAGCAGGTGAGTACCATATTCTTTCACACCTTTAGGCAGTTTAGGCCCTGTAGGAGTAGGGATTATGTTTTACCCAGTGGTGAAATTCAAATATTTTACTACCAGTTCTGTGGGTGTGGCTTGGTGGGCTTGGTGTGGCTTGGTGGGCGTGATGTGGTGAGTGTGGCAGGAGAAAGATACTGCCAAATCTCCATTCCCACCCCACTCCAGGGGAAGGATACTGCCAAATCCCCACTCCCACCCCACTCTGGGGCCATCCAGAGGTGGTATTTGCCGGTTCTCCAAACTGCTTAAAATTTCCGCTACAGGTTCTCCAGAACCTGTCAGAACCTGCTGGATTTCACCCCTGGTTTTACTCTACATGGTAGGTAGGCTACATTATAGCTAGGAGCATACATAGAGCCACAAGGTTACAGATTAGCGAATCCAGAACAGTTTCCATTATTAAACCAAACAATATGATTTTCATTTTCTGAAATAAGGCATAGATTAAGAAGAAAGTAGTGTATAGTTTTCGTATTGGCTTTAATTTAGTTCTTAGAATCTTTAGGATTAACTGAAATAAAGCTTAATTTAAATAAAACATAATTTGGTTAATATTCCAAACTTATTTACAATAACCTTGTATACCATTAATACAATTTATCCCTATTTATTTAATAAACTCTCACTTTCATGAATTTAAAATTACGATGCCACTGCAACTTTCAGAAAAGCTCTGGCGTTTGCACTGATGACTTTGGGAAAGGGGAAGGCTAGATGCAACCCTGTGGCAGCCTGGAAGATTAATGACAGTTAAATGGATGTGATTAGAGAGAATGTGGAGAGCAACTGTCCAGATTAAATTCAAATCACTTATCCAATAGGAAATTTACCAAATAACCTTGGACAGCCACCATCTTTGATGTAAGATACTTGATTAAGATGAAAGAAGTAAAATATAAATATCCTTTCTGGCTTATGTTTTGATTTTCCAGACGAAGGCTTAGATAAAAGTTAAGCAAAAATTTTAAAAAATTGTGTACCAATTTTATCCTCTTCAGCTGAGAGAAAAGATTAAAAAGAACAAGACTCGGTTAGAAATTCATCCACATAAAGGTTATCTCAGTCCTGGTTGACAGAAAAAAAAATGTTTATCCTATCCAAAATTGAAAAGAGTGGGACCTTTTCAAACAAAGCATGCAAACTAAATCCTTCTCAACATGGAAGGACATCAATCAGCTTCTCTTATACATTTCAAATCAAGAGCATAGTAAAAGTCTCGTTTCTCTGTTTCCATGGTATTTTTGTTATTACTGCTTCATCAACAAAGAAGAAAAGTTGCAATGTGATTCTACTGATTTATTTGACAGATAGTTATGCCTAATTTATCAAATAACTATAATGAGCAGCAGATTTTAAAAAGATAATCTGAAACACTATGTGTGAGATTTGGAAAAAAAAATTGTGGTCTAGCAAACCAAAATTGGAATTATGTGTAAAGATGAACACCTCAAGGCCTATTTGTATATTTGCTGTTGTGATCTATACTGAATCGCCGAGTTTGGTTTCCTAAGTGACTTCTTGAACATCAGGAATTATTTGCAACACCGGGTTCATTTTTTCCCCCTTCAGACTTCTGAGCTACTTCTGACCATAACTGATGAAAAGTAATGGCAGTTTCCTGCCATTTTGAGGCGGGAAACCAAAGAATAAGTCCTAGAACAGGCAGATTCCATTTTTAAAAATGAACGCTCCACAAAACTTCACTCTTGGATGAACTTGATTAGTTCTACACAGTCTATCATAGACAATATTTGCCACAATTCTTCAAAGAAATGAAAGTATTTCATCTCTGTCAACTACAATAGCTCCAAGTGAAACTGAAAGAAC